TTTTTATATACAAAATAAAATTAGAGATATATGATCCATTTGTCTAACACTTTTGGAGAGAAAACTAGACAAAGTTCGTGATATAATTTGTCCAATTATAAAAGATATATCATTAAAATCAAAATGTTTCAAGACCTAAATGAGAAAGTCTCAACTAAAAATGTCAAAAGTGTTGGACTAGTGACTCTATACACAAAAATGGGAGAGAGTAAACTGTGAAAGTTTGAAAAATAATGTACTATTAAAAATTATTTGATAAATATAATTGTTTAAAACAATTTTGACACCCCACATTATATATATATATATATATATATATATATATATATATATATATATATATATATATATATATATATATATATATATATATATATAGGTTTGATGATAATGCACTGACAATGTAAAAAAGTTTCACATTATCATACAATAGGAATATATTATTTTTTCATGTCATATAAGTAACTTAAAATTTTCAGTCTGACTTCACAGAATGCATCGTCATCATTGGTTGACAATGTAAAATCAATTTACACTGTTAGTACATCACCCATTCTCTCTCTCTCTCTCTCTCTCTCTCTCTCTCTCTATATATATATATATATATATATATATATATATATATATATATATATATATATATATATATATATATATATATATATATATATATGTGTGTGTGTGTGTGTGTGTGTGTGTGTGTGTGTGTGTGTGTGTGTGTGTGTGTGTATGTGTGTGTGTGCGTGTACCACATCCATACGAATGAGTCGATCAAGTTTCATCTTCTTTGAAATAATATAAACAAACACGCTGAAGGCCGTTTGTTCTTCTAAGTGTTCAACTACATTTGGAGTTATTTGAATCTGTTTTTTGTGCTCGCATAATTCATGATAAATAAACTTCAATCCAGTTCAAGACATATTGCAAACCAACTGCGAATACAAATTATTGAATTTGAATTTATGTTCTAATACTATAATGCTGCAACCAAACGATTTTTGTATCTCACCATGCTGATTTTAAATAATTTAGTTTATTGGTTCTCAACCCTTACACAAATCCCCTTTTCTATTTCCTAGCTAGTTCTTCAATGTAGCATGAGTAGATTCAATTATATTAGTGGTAGTATTTTCAAAGCTCTAACCTGATTAATCCATGCACGGACAATTTTCTCTTTCACCTGATATAATACAGTGATTTCAACATATTGTAAGAAATTCGAATGTTTTGTGCAAGCCCTTTTTAACTGTATGACAAATAGAATTTGTTATAACATTTAATGCATCCATTATGCTTTCCTAAATCTGACTAGGTTTGACAATCTCCATGTCTTAACCCTTGATTTGTTTGGCCCCTACCATAGGCTTAAGTCTACCTCTCACATTTTTCTTATATGATACATACACATTAAAGCATATGATGCAGGAAACATCTTCAAAACCAAATTCATCAGTTTGGTATCGTGATCAGTGACAATCATCTGTGGCGTGTTTCATTGGTATTTCAATAATTTATGACACACTTCTAAAGCCCATGTGATATTATCCTTTTTTCACATTCTAAAAACACAAAGCCAACTGAATAAGTCATCTATGTGGAAGTAGCACCAATAATTTCCAAAAGAGGAAGCATGTGCTTTTTTGTCTTATCTGTTGAATCAATTATCACTACAATGGGAAATGTATTGAATAACTTCATAGAATCAAGATTAGCCCAAAATATACCTTGTAGTGTTATATTTATGTAGGACCTGGCTAGGGTGATGACTATAGCCCGCCCCCAGAAGAGGTGACGATCATAGGTTACCTTTACGGAGGTGTCGCCTTGCCTCCAAGGCTTTCATATCTCCCAGTTATGGGAAACGTGGGATAAGACGTTTCTTGTGTAGAGAGAATTCGGGACCACTAACTAACCCATATCCCTTTGGAAATAAGGTTTCAATGGTTCTCCATTAACTAGGTGGGGGCAACCTTTTCCAAGGAAACCCTAGGCCCAAAGCCTTTATAAATATCTCTCCCCAACAGAAGAGAGGACATATCCTAACTCATACACTTATACATAAGAACTTAACACATATACATAGTCTCTCACCTCACATAAGCATGTCTTTTAAACCACCGTTCATGGCTTCTTGCCACCCTGGGTTCTCCATTACACTCAGAGATATGTAGGAGTGAGATTCAAAGTCTCGCTAGACACCCTAATAAAAAATTCACCTTTTAGTCGTATTCTTCTTTATTTTTAATAACTCGAGAAGCCAAACATCTTTAAGCTAACATTTCGCACAAACTAACTAAACGGTTTCCATTGAGTACAATGAAGGTGAAGGGTGCTAATACTTTCCTCTTCCATAATCAACTCTTGAACTCGATTTGGTAGCCCAGCCAGATGAGGAGCAGTGATATGTGATATGCATGCCAACCAACCGGAGTACAGAGCTATATCGTCAATGGTTGCGTCTGACGGTGATCCACATAGTTGTTGAAGTGCATGTCCTCAGCAACCAGACGATCAAGGTAAACTCTAAAAGGTTCGACCGCCTGGTTCATTTTCAGTAGGATAAAAGCACAGGTACGGGCCATGTCTTCAGTGTACTCATCTAGATTCGCCCAGCTAACGATATGCGGGAAATGCTAGAGGATCCAAGTCTGAAATGAAAAAGAAAAAGAAAAAAAAATCAAGGATCTAGAATTATCTGCATTGGTTTCACAAATATGATATGAAAATGAAAAAAACAAGTATCAAGAATTATTATCGCTAGTAGTGTCACGTTGCATGTGACCTGATTTTTCCTCCACCTACACCCATCTCTCAACTTCGAATAAAGATAGGACAGGTAAGTCGTCCCCCAGTTGTACTCATGGATTCAGTGGGATCCAAGAAGTACTAGAGGTATACAACGTCAGTATAAGTGGCACTTGTGTCCACAAAAATGCAAGTGCCAACCAAAATTGGAAAAATACCCTCAAAGCACGAGCTCTGTGTACTGCCACCTGCTCTGGATCACCATCATCCTGTTGTGCAACAACGACCTCCTCATAATATATCTCCTTCAGGAACTCAAACCTAGCATGAGCACCCCTGGTCATATCCACCTCGTCAATCGCCTTCCCTCCCCCGTCTTTGGTCATCCTACCATGATCGAGGAATCTGCCCCTGATCGAAAGATGTAACAAACACAAGATATCGTCCAGTGTGATAGATAACTCACCATGCAGAAGACAAAAAGAAGACGCCTCATAATGTCATATCTCCACGAATGCATTAAATATCTCGTGGTTCACCAGAGTGTAACTGGTCATGCATAGGTCCTTTAACCCAAATAAGGTCAGAACTGACTAAAACCATTCCTCATCAGGATGAATTAAGCCAACAATCTTCCTCCCACAGTTTCTAAACTTCTGGGGATCATGCACCTGAAATTATCCAAAAATAATCAATGTCAGTAATAATCAGTATTAGAAATAATCAATGTCAGCAATTTAAATGAACATAAAAAATAAATCAAAAATCCAACTAATGTTACCTCTCCGTCCCAGATATGTCAGACAGTGTGGTCTGGATATAGAGGAAGTATGGACAAATCAGATGAACCTCTGCCAAATTCCTTTAGCTCGACATCTTAAGCAACCTCACCCTCCAGGGGTGGAAGTGGATCAACAAGATCATCAATAGGAGGTGACTCTGGATCAGCAAGAGGTGGCACTGGTGCATCCTGACGCTTGCAGGAGGATGAGGGAAGTGACGCGTCAACTGATGAATCGCGTCTCCTACGAAAAGAAGAAGAAGATGGAGTGGCCTGAGATGAATATGGAGTGGTCTGAGATGAAGTGGCATGAGGTAAAGGACGAGCCCTTGGAGTAGACTATGCCCCAGAAGTCGGCACCTCTGCCTAACTAGAAGTACCCGCTGCCTCTGGAATTTGTTGGCTCCGCTCCCTTCGGATGGATGCATAGTGGGAAATCTGACTATGTCTCAGTATGTTGCCTCTGTCAGCCAAAATACATATAAGATAAATCACGGCATATCGTTAGTGCAAGTAGACAATATAGACAAACAATAAAATCAAAAAAGAACAAATTGTAGGATATTTCGGAGATACATCTCTAGAAACACCATAAAATAATTACGTTGAATAATTTTAGAGATGTATCTCCGGAATATCCCAAAGTATATGAAACGCTGAACTATTTCAGAGATGTATGACCAGAAAGTTCTGCAACTCTAAGGTCACAATAATGTCGTAATGCGACTCATGTAAGTTGAAAAAACATGATCCAATCATCATTTTGAGCCAACAAACAAGTCATATATTAAGTATAAACTGCGTTACATGCGATTCCTACACATTTCTATCCCTAATAATTGATTTCTACACATCTACACGAAAACTTAAAATTTATCCTAAAACTAAAAAATTTACCTGAAATTTATGGTTTTAACGGTGTTGAATGCTGTTATTAATGATGTTTGATGTTTGTTTATGTCATGTATAATGAAATTTGATGTTGTGAAGAAGTTGCAATTTTTATGTTGAAAGAAAAGTTTGAGAAATGGGAGGGAGGAGAAGAGTCATACGCGTTTTGTGTTATAAATTGTTTCGAGATATATCTCTAGAATATTTTAACGTTTAATAAACTTTGAGTGTGTCAAAAGATATATCTTCGAAATCATGAAACATTTATGAAATTTCAAATGACTCGGTAAAAATATATAGGATGAAAAAAAAAATAAAAATAAATTCCCTCTTAAAATAGGACCAATGAACCAAACTTTCAAAACCCATGTTTTGAATTCCATCTATGGGCCGCCGAAAGGGACCAATGACGCAATGATTTGAAATTACATTAACGGTTACGGCATTGATAATTAGTTAGAAGGGCAATTGGTAATTTCGCAGGTTGATTATTCCTCTCGTAAATCTCAAGCAAAACGAAGAAAACCGTTTCGGTTGTTGCAAAAACTCAGAACAAAAATTTGGATCTGATTGGGCGGCGACAATGGAGAACAACGGCAGCCTTATAATGAGAGAGAAGATCGATCAGATGGCAACCTGGCTGGGGTCCACCGTCTCCTCCGCTTTCTTCTTTTCCTTGGAACGCTTTTCCTGCGTCAACGTCGCTACTTCTGACCCTGACAACGACGAAGACGACGACGACTACTCTGTCAGCACAACCGCCACCACCACCATCAACAATCCTAATTCCTCCGTTCAGAACACAAACGACGTCGCCAACCTCCCTGTTTGAATCATCGATGCGACATCGTCGTTTCCGGTTCGCTGTATATACTTTTTTTTCTTCCTTTTGATACTTTTATTGTTTCATGTATAAGTATTAGATTTTGATTTCAAATTTATTAACATGTTTGTGGAACTGCGATGTGAATTATGAACATGTGATTCCATTTTGTGCCTCTTCTGCATATTGTTTCTATTTCAATTTGTTTCATTAACGAGTCATTCTTTGATTTTGTTTGAGCTTATTGCTTGAATTTGAATAGGCTTTGCATTTGAATTACAATCAATGAATGATGTTAATCTAAATTCTAATGTAACAATCTGATTTAGGTCAACCTGATTTGCTCCGAAGCATTGACACCAACACTTGTTATTATCTTTAATTTATTCATTTTTTCAAATTATTACTTATGTTGCTGTATTAGTGTCGTGTTCGGGGTAACTGTGCTTCATAGTGGATTTGTTTATTAATTAGGATACCGGTATGGACTTATGTGGTCCACTAAGCTTTGGGGCATCGCATCTTTATTAAGTGAGTGAGTGGGATGCAATTCGATGAATTTTGTGTATATGTTAATGAATTTGGATGTGAAGATGTGGACAATCGGTGAAATATTTTGATTTATTAGGTGAGTACAAAACGATGTGATGAAGAATGAAAGATGCATCACTGTTAACCCGTTTTTGTTTCACTAAACCCGCAATGCATTGGGTTTGATTAGGTTTTAGGATAGGTTAGAGTCTAAAGAATTGAACTATCCAAAATTTAGGGACTTGGTTAAGCTCGAAAGATTTGAGCTAACTGAAAGTTAGGGTCGGTTTAATGTTTATGTATAACTCATCCCAACGCGTCCCTTACTTATCCATAATTGGTAGCTCTTTTACTTTAGTAATAAGATTTTATCAACATAATATTATATGTGAAATCCATGTTACTTTAGATGGAATCTTGTCGTAAAGTGCAGTTGTAAGAATAATATTTTGAGCTCTGAATACATGGGAAAATACTAAAAATTCAATCTTGCACTTCCAACGTTTAAGTCATAATTGATTGTTCACCTTATCATTATGTTTCAGTTGTTCTCTGACCGAATTCAATGTCGTCTTAAATAGACCCGCTCTTAATTTGACTCATAAAACATTGGTTTTGTTCGGGTTTAGGGAACGAGTTACGCTCTAAAGAATGGGCTCAATAAAAATTTGGGGATTGGGTTGGGATGAGTATAACCCCCCTTCTCGTGTCCAGTTATTGACATATAAAATGCCTTGATACTTTCCTAATTAACTGGTTGCAGTTCCTAGATTAAGTTCTCTGGGATTTCAAATGATTGCTTTACTTTACTGCTTGAAGCTAATGGGGCTCCAATGGAATCTGCATAACACTTGAAAAACATAGCTCAAAACAAAACTTTTCAACTGTTTTCATTGTTCCTTATAGGATTTAATTACTATGCACTATATGTGCAGAGATTCTTATATTGAATCAATTAGAATAATTAGATTATTAAATATATTTGACTTTAAACAAAATAATTTAAAAGTCACCTATACAATTGATTGTAATTGTTTAACTGCGAACTTTTTTACACCAACAATATATGAATATTAACATTTTTATAATATTGTGTTAAAAACTATTTTGCCCCCCTTTTTTATGGCACTTGTAAAAACTAATAGCTACAATAGTACTCATAAGATGGAAGAGAGGAGTAATAAAATTGTAAGGGGTGGACAACTGTTATGATGTTATTGACTTCTAAACTCTGATTTTCAATTTCTCAGTTAGTATTATTTTAGGGCAGCAGATTCAAAATTCTATCGGGTCCTCGAGATTTGGTATTAGCATTAGGAGAGAGACTAGGGAAACTTAAACCCATCAACAACTGGCACATCATACTTGAAATAAAAACAGTTGACACATCATTAGCCCAACAAGAATGTACTATATTACCAATTAAAACAAAGATGTGTTGATCCATAATAATCATATTTTGACCTACAATGTCCAACGAATCTTACCCTTTTTTCTTCAACTTGTCATATATTAGTAGAAACTAACACAGTAACACTTTATTTCAGGATCAAAATGATAATCAATCATTTTCTGCACCTTTAAATTCTTGTAAAAGTTGATGATAGTGTACACTAAATCTAAGGCTAGGAAAAGTTGTCAAGTGGAGTGCCTGTACTTTTGGCTATGTGGGATGAGAAACATGGCTAATGAGTATCTCTATAAAGCAACATGTTCTATTCTACCTTGT